AAGGCTTCTTGGCAAAGTTCTCTATGTCGATCTCTTTATTTCAGTCTTTTCCTACTAATATCTTAGTTTTTCTGCCACAAATAATTAACTAACACAGAATAGCTATGCCGAAACATTACATTCCTAAAATTGTTACCAAATACTATTACAAATAACTAAACCCAGAAAATATTTGTAAGCCAAAACAAAACAAAAACCAACTACGACCAAATTATTTAAAAAGGACCAAATGTATAAATGCATCTAGCAAATACAACAGTGCAGACTGCATGGTAACTGCAAACCTCTTACTGAATTCTTTGCGAAAGAAGTCTAAAATGAATGCTAAGTCCATAACAACTGAAAACAACTGTAGATTGGAACCTGAGATAACAATTCCAAGTTCTGTTCAACTCCTCTGTCACTTTCTAAACCAGTAGAATTCAACACTTTTCACTGTGTGTTGAATACTCCAGGCTAAATTAAATGAAGTCCAATGCAGAAACATTTAATTTTTCCCAACCACAAATGAAAAAATCACTAGCTGAAGTGCTACAAATCAGTTAGCATGATGCAGACTAGGACCAGGTGGAATGCATTCAAGGTGCTGAGGTAGCTGGCCAACATTATTATAAGACTACTCTCTAGCACTCCACTAAGATCGGACGAGGAGGCTACAAAACCCCATGGGGTTTAGCATAGCCAACTGAAAATTCCCGCACCTAGGACAGACCAACCACATACACAAGAAGAGGCTGAGGGACAAGCTGGCTGGGGGCAGGAAGGGCAACTCTGCAGAAAAGGGTTTGGAAGTCCCAATAGACAAGGAGGGGACTATGTACCAGCAGCACATGCTTGTGGTATAGGTGGCCAACCATAGAGAAGCCAGAGGGGGTTACCCCCTCTGTTTGGCACTTGGAAGGCCACATCTGCATGTGGTGTCCAGTTCTGGGCTTCTCATGACGAAAATGCCGACAGATTGGAAGGAAGCCAGCAGAAGGCCACAAAGATTGTTCAAGTGATGGAACAAATGGCACAATAGGAAAGACTGAAAGAACAGAGCTTTTGTAGCCTGGATAAAGCAACTGCTGTCTTCAGCTATACCACAGGGCATTATAGAGAAGACAGAGCTAGACGCTTCTCAGATGCACAGCGAAAGGACAAGAGGCAACAGGCACAAATGCCAGCAATGAAAACTTTGGCCATAATGAACCCGCTTCTCCCAATGGGAGCAGCGCAGCCTGGGACAGGGTCTAGAGATGCTGAGTGATCTCCATCCTGAGATGATTCAAACTTCAACTGGACAAGCCCAAAGTAACCTCTGGATCCAGCCTGGAAGCTGCCCCAGTTTTAAGCAGGAGTAGGCTAGAGAGCTCCAGGGGTACCTTCCCATGTCATCTTTTGGGGGGATTCTCTGATGACATTTATAACTTAACAAGGTGTGCAGTTCAGTCTACCATATATGAACTGGAATTATTTTTCAGCTCACCATGAAAGGGAAGAAAGACCTTTTGCCACAATATTTCATTGCAGAACAGCATAACCAGAATGAAAATATTTTTATTTGCCCAACATGACCTTTTGTTTTACATCAGAACAACAGTAAGCTCTGTTTCTCAGAAGTGGGGCTTCTGGGACCAGAAGCCAAATTCTCATACAAATTCCCCTTGAGAGACCCCACCACTCATAAGTACAACACATCACCTCTAAAAGGTGGATGCATTTACACCTATAGCAACAGCTCTGTAGAAGCTGGGTTTAACAGCCCTTGCTTCTGGCTTCTCTCTCTACCCTACACACCTCCCTCCACCACACTGACACAGACATTTGCAATGCCACACAGGGAACCTGAAAGTGGAACTGATCTGGTGGGGAAAAATAACCCGAAAGAAGTTGCATGTTTTCATTAGAATGTCATACACTTGAGACTACTTCTGAACACATGCTTAATTACAGCAAAAAACATTTAAACTGACAGAAATTTGGTCCTATTACACCAACTCATGTAGATTCCCAAGACTTGTGGTAATGGCTGGTTTAGTTAGCCATTGGATTTTCAGTTGCTTCTCCCAGGATCAAAAGCATAAAACCTACAAATTTTTCTAGAACAAAGTTGTTCATGGTTTTAGAGAAGATTACTTGGATTTAAACTATTCACTGAAAATGCAATGCTCAGCTCTCCCACTTACTTGAGTCTGTAGCCAAACAACTGCTTTTAAGTACAGGGAACGACAGTGAAAAATATGGTAGAAGCATATGAGGTCTACCCTATGTAAAGTCTAACATGCATATAAGAGAAGACCTTTCTTTAGAGTCCAGCATACCTCTGCTGCTCCTGAGGCAAAGGAGACTGTCAGAAAACAGCTGCCAAAACACAGTGTAATGACCAGAATAGGAACATGAGGAACTCAAAATGACAGGAAGAAGCATGTTCAAGAAAACCTCAAACAATGGAAGGTCCCCAGGTAGGTTCCTGAGAAACTTGTTGTTTAGTTGCAGAAAAAGTAAAAAATATCTATCCTGAAAAAGGGAAGAGCCTTGTACCTAGAGCAAAATATTCTGTTATTTATTTAGGTATGAATCAAAGGGGCACATTTGTAGAAGATCAAAGAGAAGTTCCTGTCTGTTTGCCATTTGCATGAAAGGATACTGGGGACATTGAATAATTTTCCCTGCAAACAAGACCTCTAATGAATTTCTCCATTCTCCTGGCAGATCAAGGTAGCTGTTTCAGGAGCACAGAGGCAGAGGGAGGGGCACAAGGAAAAGGAGAGGAATGATTTTTAGGGGTAACCACACTGTAGGTATCAAATTTTTGAAAGGTAATGTCCTGGGTGACTGCATAAGCTGCCGTATGATCCAACCAGATGAGCAAAATGCTAGATGATAGGTAAAACTACTCTCACTCATTCCCCTGTATACCTTTCATGATTCATGCTGCCTAAAATATGTCTCAATTTCTGATACTTTTTTTTTTTTAGGATCTTAGAGACACATAGCTCTGCAAAAGAGTTGTTGCTCATAAGGTATCTTATAAAAGTGGTAGAACAGCATGGGAAAGAGCCCAACAGTAGCAGGTGATATATTATGCTTGTGAAAAAGTATAATCTTTTCCTCTTGATGACATTTGAAAAATCCACATACAGAATCACAGAATGGTTTGGGTTGCAAGGCACCTTAAAGATTATCTAGTTCCAATCCCCATGCCATGGGCAAGGACGCCTTCCACTAGTCCAGATTCCTCAAACCCCCATCCAACCTGTCCTTGAACACTTCCAGGGATGGGGCATCCACCAACGTTGTAACTTCTCTGGGCAATCTGCTCCAGTGCCTCACCACCTTCATAGTGAAGAATTTCTTCACACAGACACAGAATGGCAAGGGTTGGAAGGGACCTCAGGAGATCATCTAGTCTAACCCTCCTGCTAAAGCAGGTTCACCTAGAGCAGGTTGCACAGGACATCGTCCATGCGGGTTTTGAATACCTCCAAGGAAGGAGACTCCACACACTCCCGGGCAGCCTGTTCCAGTGCTCTGTCACCCTCAAAGTAAAGAAGTTCTTCCTCATATTCAACTGAAACCTCTTTTGCTTCAGTTTGCCCCCATTGCCCCTTGTCCTGTTGCTGGGCACCACTGAGAAGAGTCTGGCTCCATCCTCGTGACATCCACCCTTAAGATATTTGTAACTATTTATGAGATCCCCTCTCAGTTTTCTTCTGGCTAAGCAAGCCCAGCTCCCTCAGCCTTTCCTCACAGGAGAGATGCTCCAGTCCCCTAATCATCTTTGTAGCCCTCCTCTGGACACTATTTGTTCCTCATCTTTCTTGAACTGGAGAGCCCAGAACTGGACTCAGTACTCCAGGTGTGGTCTCATTAGGGCAGAGCAGAGAGGGAGGATAACCTCCCTCAACCTGCTGGCCACGCTCCTCTTAATGTGCCCCAGGATGCCACTGGCTTTCCTGGCAACAAGGGCACACTGCTGGCTCATGTTCAAATTGTCATCCACCAGGACTCCTGGGTCCCTCTTGGCAGAACTGCTTTCCAGCCACTCAGGCCCCAGCCTGTACTGGTGCATGGGGTTCAACCTCCCCAGGTGCAGCACCTGACACTTGCCCTTGTTGAACTTCATCAGGTTCCTCTCCGCCCAACTCTCCAGGTCCCGCTGAATGGCAGCACAGCCTTCCGGTGTATCAGCCACTCCTCCCAGTTTTGTGTCATCAGCAAACTTGTTGAGGGTACACTCTGCCCCCTCATCCAGGTCATTGATGAGTAAGTTGAACAAGACTGGGCCAAGTACTGAGTCTTGGGGAACCCCACTAGCTACTGGCCTCCAACTAGACCGTGCCACCGATTGCAACCCTCTGAGCTCTGCCATGCAGCCAGTTCCCTGGGGAACCTCACTGTCCACTCATCCAGCCCACACTTCCTGAGCTTCCCTGTGAGGATGTTATTGGAGACGGTGTCAAAAGCCTCGCTGAAGTCAAGACAGACAACATCCACAGCTCTCCCCTTCCTTACATCTAATCTAATTCTATCCTCTTTCGGTTTAAAGCCCTTGTACCGTCTTATCACTACATGCCCTTGGAAAAAGTCCATTCCAGCTTTCTTGTACAACCCCTTCAGGTACCGGAAGACTGCTATAAGGTCTTCCTAGAGCCTTCTCTTCTCCAAGCTGAACAACCCCAACTCTGTCAGCCTTTCTTCATAGGAGAGGTGCGCCAACCCTCTGATCATCTTCATGGTCCTCCTCTGAACTCACTCAAACAGGTCCATGTTCTTCTTATGTTGGGGGCCCCAGAGCTGAACGTAGTACTCCAGGTGGGGTCTCATAAGAGCAGAGTAGAGGGGGAGGATCACCTCCCTTAACCTGCTGGTCACACTTCTTTTGACACAGCCCAGGATACAGTTGGCTTTCTGGGCTGCAAGTGCACATTGCCAGGTCATGTTGAGCTTCTCATCAACCAACACACCCAAGTGCTTCTCCTCAGGGCTGCTCTCAATCCATTCTCTGCCCAGACTGTATTTGTGCTTGGGATTGCCCCAACCCATGTGCAGGACCTTGCAGTTGGCCTTGTTGAACTTCCTGAGCTTCACATGGGCCTACCTCTCAAGCATGTCAGGGTCCCTCTGGATGGCATCTCTTCCCTCCAGTGTGACAACTGCCCCACACAGCTTGGTGTCATCAGCTAACTTGCTGAGGGTGCACTCAGTCCCACAGCTCATGTCGCCAACAAAGATGCTAAACAGCGTCGGTCCCAATACAGACCCCTGAGGAATGCCACTCGTCACTGGTCACCACTTGGACACCGAGCCATTGACCGCAACTCTTTGAGTGCGACTATCCAGCTAATTCCTTATCCACTGAGTGGTCCATCCATCAAATCCACATCTCTCCAATTTAAAGAGAAGGCTTTAGCTTTCCTAACCTGATCCCTGGCTGCTTGGACAATTTCTCTGTATTTCTTCCAGGCTTCCACCTTGCTTGTCCTTGCTTCCACCCTCTGGAGGCCTCCTTTTTGGGTTTGAGTTTGTCCAGCAGCTCCTTGTTCATCCACGCAGGCCTCCTGGCATTTCTGTCTGATTTCCTCTTTGTTGGGATGCATTGCTCCTGAGCTTGGAGGAGGTGATCCTTGAATATTAACCAGCTTTCCTGGGCCCCTCTTCCCTCCAGGGCTTTATACCTTGTTGATCCCTGAAGAGGCCGAAGTCTGCTCTCCCGAAGTCCAGGGTAGTGAGCTTATTGTGCACTCAGTGCCCTAAGGATCTTGACCATTTCATGGTCACTGCTGCCAAGGCTGCCCTTGAGCTTCACATTCCCCACCAGCCCCTCCTTGTTGGTGAGAACAGCATAGCACCTCTCCTTGTTGGCTCCCCTATTACTTGGAGAAGGAATTTATCATCAACGCATTCAACACTGCCAAACGCAGTGTAACTGCCACCAAGAGTCACTTGCAGAGGCGATCAGCTCCGGTTCAGGCGTGTTCCGCCGCAGAGAGGGAGATCACAGCATACAGGGGGGGTTCCTGAGCCAGGGAAACCCCAGGGGAGTGCAGAGACCTGCCAGGAGCCCTGGGAGTAAATATTATCACTGAACATATCTGAAGCCAATACTGTCAGAGCTGAAGAGGGGAGTGGGGGAAGGAGAGAGACAGAGAAAGAAAGTCTGATGTCCTGGTCCACAACAGAAGAATAAAAGAAATACTTAGTAGTTGGTTCAATTTCCAGAAGAATTAGATCTTGCTGAAAAAAAAATCTCACAAATGGGTGAAACATTACCACCAAATCAGAACGCTCCTCTTTGATTCATAAGGAGCAAAGTAGGTTGTGAAGAAAGCAATGAAACACAGGAAGTGCTGTGGATGGACTTTAAAAACCCTCTCACAATTGTGACAACAATAGTACTTTACAAGCTTTATCACAGTAATAATTTTTGAAGAGTGTACTGAACAGCATGGGACAAAAGAACAGTCCAGTTAGAAGACATGTTCTCATTTGCTTCTTAGACCCACAGATACTAGGCTAGCAAGATATGCAACAACACTGAAAGTAACCTGAAAAAGACAGATTTTAAGAAGTGTTAAACTGAAAAGACAAACCAAAAGCAAACAAAAAAACCCCCCAAAACCACACTTCCAAAACCAGATCAACTGCACGGGATGGTGGTGTTCCCACTGCATACAGAGAAATCTAAGCTTCTGATCTCAAAACAATTTGTGAAACATTTTATGATCAAGCAATAGAGGAAGTTTCTTCCAAGAATGGGGAAGACAGCCTAAGCTCTCAGTAACCATGGTATTGGCAGATTTTAGTCACACCAAGCCAAGTGATGCCAAAACAAACAAAAAAATCCCAAACAAAAAACATCACATAAAAACCAAAACAAGACATTCCCAAACACCCCACTTTTACATTTTCCCCTCAGTGCACTTACATTAAACATCTCACAAATCAAAGAAAATTAGCAGAAGAATGCTTGTCATCTAGTACAGAATGTTTCTGCATTTTTTCAACAGTGTATGAAGATGTCCAAGATGTAAAAGCATTATTTTTCTAACTACATAGTGCCTACAGAGCATAGAAATAAGAAAACTAGAGTAATTTCTATATCGCAATGCTAACAACCAAATTTTTTAGCAGTGCAGTACGAGAAAGCTTGGAAAATGTATCAGACTATAAACAATGCCAAATGCTATTGAAAACACTTAGGACCACACTTTCTGTTATTTGTATTAAGTGCATATTCATTCTGTAACATAATTACCTTCTGGAGAATTCAGAGGCTTACTTTTATATTATCTTATAGTCTTTTTAAAGGACCTACCAGACAAAAATACAAAGAGAATGTCTCTTCTATTTTTAAACACCCTCCAAAAAATTAACAAGTTATGCATTTTAAGGCAGTTAAAGAAATTAGAATGAGTGCATAATACCGAGCCCCTTCTATAAAAGTGATTCAACTAAACACAAATACGGGTTAAATGCTTTCAATACTGCACATACTAAGAATTCCTTCCTACAATACAGAAATACACATACAGACTAATCCTTGCATTGAATGGTTTTTACACAGATGAAAACACCAGTACAACAACAGCACAAAACATGAGCTTTGAAAAAGGAAAACACAGACAAAACTAACACTGACAAAGAAAGGCATAAGATGAAAAATACCAGGTTAGATCTTGCAGTGTAGTATATTTCTTCTGAATTGTCCAAAAAATCGCTACTGTCAGGCTGTTCATTAGACAGAGATCAAGAAACTCAAGTTATTTACATTGTGACTGAAAACCAGATATACATAAAGGGAAATTTTCTTGCTAAAAAAGAAGTTTTTAGTTGAAATTCAAACCATGTTAAGACAGTTCTGGGGGTGGGGGGTAAAACACAGCTAAGGGTATGGTCACATTACCAAATGCTACTGAATCACACCAAAATGATGAACTGATCACCTGAGCGACAAACTGCCTCAGTAAGAGGCACCACTGCACCACCAACAATAACATCATGCTGCAGTGGTCCAGTCCTTTGGCTTGTGCACTCACACCCGTAAGTAAATAAGCATAAAGTTTAAGCATGCTTTAGTGAGACAGAAGCAATAGGGTCAGAAGAACTGCTTTAATGAAAAAGGATCCACACTGTTACTGCTGAAAGAAAAGACAGGCATCTCTTACTCCCACTTCCATTTAAAAGAGTTTCTCTCCCAGAATGTGTAGATTGTTACAAACTTCTCCCTCAGCCTGCTTTGTCCTAAGGCTCTTTACTAAAGCATCCATTCTTTGGGTATATCTCTTGTTTGCATTTGACATGCCAATTTAAACTGTCCATTGATTCTGTATCTGATGACAAAATATGGGTTTTCTTTGGTCTCTAGACCAAACATCAACTTTTCAAACTCTATTTTATCTGGAAAGGACAGATCAGGTCTGCATGCTTCATTCTGATACGAGCAGTGGAGCAGTTAATTTCCCTCTTCAGAAAGGTCCAAACAAGCAGTTATAGACAGGGAGATGAGGCAACTTCTTTAGACAGGTTTCAATTATGCAAAGTCTGACAGGAATAGACAATACTGAGAAATTTCCTTATCAGCAGAATTTATCTGGATCATTCAAGTCCCTTCTTGGAGCAGCAAGAGCTTCTGAGATTCCCAAGGTCCTGATTGATAACACACAGGATAACAAAAGGCTTGATTCCTCCCTTCTGACAACACCAGCCAAAGAAGTGCTCTCAAAAATTACGCTTTAATCCCTGCAGAAAATCTCTCTCCCCAGTTTAGCAGCTCAGGTTCCTAAGGTGCAATGAAAACACCTCTCTGCCCTATGAAGTTTTCCACTAACTGGTTTGTATAATCAGTGACATAAAACACAAAACAAATGGAAAAAAGTATTTTTAAAACTTAAGCTTCTCCATTAACATCTTTTTGCAAGTATGATCCTATGCGTCTTTAAATAAATAAAATTCATAAGAAGCAAAAGCATTACAATTTGAACTATACAACGCTACCAATTGTATTTTCTTTATAATCCAGACAATGCAACAGGGAAGTAAAGCCAGGATAATTTAGACTCAGTTCAAAAATAATTTTGAGTTAACTGATGATTTTATGGTAGAAACACTGACTTCATTACCATATTTAATAAACACTTGGATAACCAGGGCTCCTAAATGATGTTGTTATGCAGTTATGTCATGGTCTAAATAACATATCTGAAATAATTGCCTAAGTCCTACTTGTGATTTGGTAAGCTATTCTCCTCAGTCTTGAACAGGCACCAGAAACTGCAGACTACCTGTCCAGCCAGTTGCTGAGGAAGAATAAAATGATACACAGCCTCATACACAGAGCAAAGCCAATGTCCCTCCCACCTATGCACTAAGCCAACATTTTCACCTTAACACCTGCCTTAGAAAAACAATGAGAACACAGAAGTCTGCAGAAAGGAAGCAAAGGAGTGTCTTTTTTAACCAGGAATGTGAAGAAATTGCCCAAGTGCACAAATGTGGAAAGCAACAGTCTCCATAGAAGAGAGGAAGCTACTGCAAACGTGTGAGACAGGACAGACACCTTTTCCCTCACTGCTTGATTCTCATACCCCTTGTAATGAGAGGTCCATAGGAAGGAAACATTGGCAATACAACTTTACAGAATAAGTCAACTGCCAGAGTCAGCGTGGCTCAGGTGTGATGCAGGGCCACAGGAAAATTGTTTGCATGGGAAAATAACAGCCCCACAAAAATCCATTTTTTTCAAATACATCATGATCTCTTTTCCAGGCTCTCAATTGTATTATTTCCATTACCAATCATTGTCAATACAACAAGCACTAGGGAGAGAAACATTTGAGTATGCACAGTAATTCTACAATTAAAAAAATAACTATAAATAAAGGGAATTATATAGTTGGTAATGAGGTATAAAGGATAGAGGAAATCCACAAGACAAAGGGCTGATGCTTAGCACACACATCACACCTGGCAGAGCCCACAAATAAGGGGTCTTGCTGCATATAGTGTAATGGTACCAAAAAATTTAGGATCAATATGTTATGACTTGTCAGAAAAATTGCTGCCAAGTTTAGTAGTGATACAGAGGTATGCTACACATCTTTGATTTCTCTTCCTCCACAGATATTTGCAGGGAATAATGTGCAGAGCATTGCCCATGCTGCTTGTTACTCACAAATTCATGATGTGGCTCTGTCTCTTTCCTCAAAGGTGGATCAAATTTTACTTGACCAACTAAAGAGGAGAAAAGGAAAACAAGAATTTAATTCAGACTGTAATTAGACAAAATTTAGCTCCGAAGGCTAATAAAAAAGAAAAATCCAGTTTAATCAGTGTATCATATTCCCCACCGATGGAAACTTCTGACACATGCTCATGCCAAAGTTGTGCCTGCTAGAATGTAATGAGCACAGAAAGTACTCTTCTATCACAAAGGCAGCACAATCACCATTTGCCCCACCTACTCATTAGAAGGATCAGGAAAACCACTCAGCAAATAGGGCCATGAAGTGCCCTCTTTAGAGGAGCAACACAGCTGTGATTTATAGAAAAAACACATCCGTTGTGTGAATTTACTCTTGGGTCTCTTCTTCAGGGAGACTCAATAGCACTAAAGAGCCTTGAATGAAGTTTGGAGAGAGCTAATCACATCTTCTAGGACAGTTCTTTGACAGGTACTCTTTAATGCTCCTCCCCTCAATTTTAGCTTAAGTATTAAAGTATTGCTCTGATTTAATTCAAACAAAAGAATGACTACAATTTGGGGGGTGGAGTCTGCTTTTAATGGCCAGTGATCAACCTCCTTCTTGCCTGATTTCTATCTACATGACTGTTTCAATTCAAAAGCAAATACTACAAGATACTAAATTAGGAAGAAAAATCTTCCCCTGCCATTCTGTTACCCAGCAGAATCTGGCATCTCTCCGAATATCCTTGCTGGAGCGGCATATGAAGCTATACCGATCAGCTCTCAGAAGAGCTCAGGTTGCATCCTGTTCAATTAAGATGAAGCAACAGTGAGATTTGCTGAAGTGCTGACAAAGGGTGTATTCAAATATTCTACACTAATATTTCTTTTGCATAGTCATCTAGAACCTATATCCATAAGTGAAACAGCGTAAGTTTTTATTTTCCTATATATCACTAAAAAGTCAGATGTCAGATACCCAGAATACCAGTTGAAGTAAGTGAGTATCAATGATTTTAATAATTAAAGAATTAAAGAATTAACACTGTCATGTTACACATGCTTACAGTTTATTTCAGAGCGTGTCTTTTCTTCTCTCACATTTCTACTTGTCGAATGAATTCTATGAGGCACTACAAGAGGCTAGAAGAGAAAAATAAAATACTTCAATACCAAAATATACTCACTTGAAACCCAGTATTTTATATCTAGTTTTTAGCAGGTTTCTTTAGCATACCAAAAAAGAAAGAACGAAATCAAGCAGAAGCTAAAAGATTGCATGTATGTTTTTGTACATTAGAGTTTTTTTGAGACATTTTATCTGTAGAGTGTCTTCAAATTCAAGATAAGATTTTTTCAGAACACTGGATTTGAGCAAATAGAGACAATGCTGGCCAGCATGTCTTTGCTCAGATATTTCCTTTGTGTGCCTTTCAGTTTAAGGGTATTGGTAGTTTCCAAATAAGCAGTAAGACTGAATCTGGCTTACTGGCAGGATTTCCTCCAGTTTAGATACCCCCATAATTTCCCAGCTTCTAACCTAAACTGATTCCTAAAAAGTCATCAGTTAGCTTCTTTAAGTAGATGAGAAATTAGCCTGAGGTTTTCAGAGCTGAACAGGCGGGAGTGTTCCTGGTACTCTCATGCTGTGTGGCAAGAGTGATGCCATCATTTCTACAAATTCATCTTTATATTTCTGTTCCATTTCTATCTCTTCCCTGGATTTCCATTTACTTTTCCACAGGACGAAGTGACACGAACTTTAAGACTTGGCTTTCTTTTCACTGCCCCTGTTGGATTTTCCCTCTTCTTTCTACATCCAGTACTGCAGGTTCTCTTAGAAGCTATAACTTAAGGTTTCTTAACAAGAGTACAAGACCAAATGACTGCTGTATACAATCAGGCCCTAAAACTAGCACCTAAATCCTAACTGTGCTCTCAGTACATCCTCCAATGGAATCTTGCTCTTTAGAAAAATGTTCATTCGCCATGATGTTAGCCCAAGTAATCTCTGAGAAGAGCACATTCACTATGTTTCTGTGTTCAGTATGTTGCAGTAAAACAATTTTTAATTAAAGCAATCTGACACAATAATGTCAGAAATTTGATGTGCTGGTATGTTAGCTTTGCTTTTATATATACACTAATTCTAATCTTCACTTGGCAACTTTTGACCACGAAGTGATGACAGAGTTGGAGAACTTCAACTGCTGTACTATCACAGAGAGTCGCAAATAGCTCAGCAACTCTGTTTATCCCTGAAATATTATCTGAAAGCATTATTTCCCCTCTCTCCTTTTCATCACCCATTACTTCCTTGCTTTATATTAGCATCCAACACACATATATAGCGTTTCACCTCCTATTTATGTTGACTTTGGATTTTTTTGAAACTATCAATAGCAGTGGTCAGTCCCCAAGTTCGGATTAACATCTCCAGCTACCTCTGTGAGCAGGCATGTATTGGAGCAAGTTCAACCAAGTATAAAAGGAGCATGTACACTTCTTATTCCCTTAGGACCACAATGCCAACAACTGCTTTGCCGGTGGCAGGATTCTTCCTCTGAAATACAGACCCTTGCTCAAGATGCATTCGATAATTCATTATCAGCTGCTTTAGTCAGAGAGGTGGGTTCTAGGCTTGCTTATTACAAAATAAAATGTTTTCTCAAGCATCACTATCAATCTCATTTTGCATGTAGATTAAATGCCTCAATAGAAAATTATCTGGCAACATGGTTAGGGGAGAAATGAGGAGAGACATCAAAGTTGTCTATCCAATGAAAATGATCCAGCACCACAGGTAATGGTGTTTGAAGCTCACTGAAGAGCTCAAGGCCATGGGATGAACGATGATGGAGAAGTGTCATGCACAGAAGCCCACAAATGCAGCAGGAAATCCTCAGCAACATAAGATAAACACCAAATAAGTTAACATCTGAAAAATGCATATCAGAAGACAAGCAAGCAGCTTTCTTGTCGTCTGTACTGTCAGCCAGTCTAGCTCCTTTATAAACAATGAAAACATGCATTTTCTCTGATCCGATTTCTTTGAGGTTGTTTTCTCTTCATTTTCTCCTCAGACAAGGCATAGCTTTTTCCCCTGATACCACACTTCATTGTGGGATAACTGATAAGTAACACACTAGAAACAGAATAGCCTCCTTAATGCTAAGTCAGAAGGGACATAAAAAAAGTGAACACTATTTTGAAAGCTACAAATAGCTGTCAACAAAGTGTGTACTGAAATGACTCCACACAGCAATAGGAGATTCTCCACCTCAGCGGCCCAAAATGAATGTCAAGATTCTTACCAAAAAGATATACCAGTGACATGGGGGAATGGCACATCAGGGTTTCAGTACAATTTCCAGGAAAGCAGGAAAGACTTGCAGGGCAAACTACTCTGATCTGAGCAGCTCACTCACAGGAAGCACACTGAAAATGGCTACCTTTCTTCTTATGACAGCTCATGAAAGCTTTGGTTTTCTGGTTTCTACAGAAATATCACTTTAACGGGCCTCAGAGGTCTCTATCATTACTGAACAGATAGAGAACCGTAGGACACTTGTAAAACCTGAAAATCGGTATCTTGAAGTAGTTGCTTCTTTTAAGCTTATTTTCCTTTGAAGGCATTTTTAGACCAGTTAATCCATACAAAAAGTAAAACACAAGTAATGAATGAATGAATGGCATTTGTGTCGAAAAGGAATCATTTTTTCCCCCAAAAAAAATCATCAGTTAGGGAACTGCAAACATTTGGAAAGTCTTCACTAACATACAGTTAAGTATGAAGACAGGATGCAGTAACAGAATAACTATTTTCTCTTATTTATTAAACACTTCAGTCCTGCGCTGTCTATCACCTTACATAAGCATGCTATTTTTTCCCAGCTGTTAAAGCAGAGAAATCAAGTTTCAGAATATTCCAAGACAGAAAATATAATCTGCAAGAAACACATAGCAAACCATTCAACAAAAAGAACTACAGGATCATTCTCTTCTTCTCATAAGAAAGTAAATTAGGAACAAAAGAGGTATACAATTATTTTTATTAATGCTTTTTTGCAGATGAATGGAAACAAAGCAGAACGCATGACAGACCTCGGGACTGGAGAAGTGGTCCACATTTACTGTTGCAAAATTGTTGAAGGACAATAATAAACAAATTTTTAAAGTATTTACATCTCTTTGAGCTTCTCTCACACAAGTATAATGAATTTGATAAGCGCCTGTACATGTGACAATAGCACAACCAAAAGTAAACTATTCCCAGATCACAAAACATTCTGCAGCTCAGTAAATCACCATTATGTAGTTTTGTCAGCAAACGAAAACTTAATCTGATTCTATGATTAAAACATATTCCTACCTCAGGATCATCATCATCAAAATCATGGTAAGTGGAATGATCAGGATTATTCATTTTATCCAGAAGTTCAATAGCAAGACTTCGATTTAATGGTTGGGTAACAAAAGGATGCTGAAAGACAGAAGGAAAAAACCCACATATTAAAATTCCAACCAGTCATATTAAGCATTTAATTGTAATAAGCATATTTTAATTTTGTAACTTAAAAAAATCGCATACATATACCTGTAGTAGCTTTTCAGCTGTAGGTCTTTTTTTAGGATTTTTTGTAAGTGCCATTTTCACAAAATGATGGAAACTATTGGACCTGTAAAATGAAGTGGTAAACGTTAGAATCAATTGCCCAGTGAAATACATGACCATTTTCTACTGAAACAGAAGAGTACTTACCATTTCATTTTGTCCTTTAATTTAGGAGGCTGGAAGTTGCTTTTCGTCATTAGAAAAAGTGCTCTGAAAAAAACCCGATAGTATTTCTGTGGTTTACATTGCAATACATGAGAAGAATTATTAAATATATTATTTAGTTGGCAGGAAGAAGTCCAGCAGCTTAAGAGGTGCTACCAGGACAACATTACAGATTTATGCACCAGAAAGAGTTGTTACTGTCATGTACATTCAGAACACTTACAACCCCAACACCCTTGCAGTACCCCCAAACACCACAAGCACACATACCCAATACTCCAAGCTTTAACTCATTACTGACCTCATTGGATGTAGGTCAAACATTGGAGGCTGAAGTTCAGCAAGCTCTATAGCAGTTATTCCAACTGCCCACAGATCACAGAGTTGGTTATAGCCACCTTTTCTTTCTACTGCAGCAACTTCTGGTGCCATCCTGAAGGGTTAAATACATTTTTATCTAAACAACTTGCCGCAAATCAAATATTCTTCTGTACATGGCAGTTTACTTCTCTTTTCCCTAAAGCTCTCAATCTATAAGCTCACAGCCTATACATTTATACATGTGGATATATATACACTTGTGTGTAAAAAGTTGTGTAATGTATACATGAAGCTTTCCTCAATCATCTTCTAGTAACTAATAGGCAGTTTCCAAAACAGCAGTAAGTGGATGAAACCAATCTGTCTCAGACTTTTCTGCAGGCACACAACGAACTACCACACAACCACCAAAGAGCCTAAAGTATAATTACTCAAATACGGTAAAATCCAAATAATATCCAAAGTGACACATTGCCACAGAAAGTGATCAACTGACTCTGAAGAGAACAATTCTAACAAAAAAAAAAAAAAAAAGGTAACAGAATGTCAGCTTCCTTCTATCCTGAAAGCATGAGACCTGAAGACTCGTCACTGCTGCACAGAGCACTCCTTGTCTGTAAATTCTGCCTCACCGTAATGTCAGAAGACCTCATTTAAGTTAACAAAGTAGTTTCATATCCTCAAGTGGCAAAAATTAACAAACATAACTGACACAAATAGGATTACCTAAAGAAATTTATTCGCTAGGCATTGTCACATGTTTTGAATGGCCAAAGTGAATTATAGATTTGATTGTCCTACATAATCACGTCGGATGGCAAACATAGTAACATTTTTTAGTTTTGAACTTTACTAGTCCAGATCACTTGAAAAATAGCAGTGGAACTGGAAATGTAACTCAATATAGGCAAGACAGACGAATGTCACTTAATGAGTGCTCCAGTAAAGCAGCAGGCGGCATCTCAAAAGACACATTATTTAAACACAGACATCCTTATCTGTAGATCTGAAAACATCAGCAGGTTTGGTGGTATTTCAAGTTTGTATAGTTAAACTGTATTTACATAAATTTCTTCAAGAGTTCATTAAAAACACCCCATCACTCTACAGCAAAAAGAAGCGAGTTAGCAAGGTAAAGGGGGAACATGGGTTAACTTCAGAAAGGAGGAGGAGCACAAGGGTAAATAGCAGGGTTACTAGAACTAAAGACACTGCACAGCAGGTCTGCCCTTCATTTCTCTCCCATCCAAGCACCACAGCCTTACCTGCCCTGACACCTCTAATGATCACTAAAACCTTCACACTGCCTGTTTCCAACTAAATTTTCTTCTCCATAATCTCAACAATTTTGCTTTGTTGCTTATCCTCTCACATGAGAAACTTTGCAAAGAAAAACTGATGCTTTTCATCAGCATTTAACCTATGTAATACTGTCAAAATTACTGTTTAAGGTTATGACATGTCATTTGAGAAGCCTGGCACAATTTGGAGATTACACAGTGATACAGGCCAGGACTAAAGTCACACAGACATCTTAGGAAAGAGAGACACAAGCCAATTACGAAATCATGACTGATGGGCGTTTGTGTTAATTCTGAAAGGGAAGTGAATCCATGCCTTGGCATGACTTACACTGCAGAAGAATGCTAAAAATGCTGTGCTTGACTATTTCAGGACTGAATAAATTCAGGGGTGGTTTTTTTTCCATTATATACATTTTTATCTTGTACCTACTATGCTGTCAGACAACAGAATTCTGAATATCTTTTGGGGAAATGTACAAAAAAAGTGCTATTTTACAGTGAAGAATGTGTGTCGTTTACTTCAAGGCAAAAAGGAACAACCACTTCCAGTACAAAGAGGAGAAAATAAAATGCTGAACTCTAGAAAAGATAAATTATGTAAACTAGTTTAGTAAGGGAAGAATAAAGATGGAGTACAGATTGAATAGAAATGCGTGTTTGAATTCAATCTGTGTAGGCAAATGGGCAGGAGGGAGAAAATGGCTTAGAGGAAACACTTCACAAGTGGCAAAAGAATCTGTGGAGACAAACAAATGAAACTCATTATCAACTGAAGAGTTGAAGAAAAGACATACCTAGGGTGGAGGGGAAGAAACATAAACACCAAAATGGAAAATCAGGGAAGAAAAAAAAAAAATTAAGATCACACTTAAAACCAAGAAAAATTGTTGCTAGTTTTTAAGTTTGACTAAATTGAGATACATCAGTCAACGATGATAGCAGCACAGCCAGCCTTTCAATTTTTCAGGGTATTACAGCATTTTCTCTGATTCTCAGCTAATTCAGTATTTAGCATAAGTAATACAGATATGATGACAAGAAAGTCTGACATAGTGATTCATCTACCCAGTAAGTGAGATAGCATGCTTTTATCACAATTTTTCTACAGTATTATATATGTTACTATTATGTTAATGGCCAAGTAAAACACAGTTACCAGTATGGGGTGCCAATGAATGATTTCCTTTTGGCAATTGTAGCTGTTATCTGTGCAGATACTCCAAAATCAGCTATTAAAAAAAAAAGCAAAACCAAAAAGACAGTTAATAACAGATTTGATACAATTAATTGTTAATGAAGGCAAGTTTGGTTTCCCTACTGTAGAAGTTTCTTAAACATACTGGAAATATTTAACAAAAATGAATAACAAAAGCAAATAGTGCACACTTGGTCTATCTTGGATACCATCAGTCAGCTCCTCTCAGTCAGCTGCCAAATATGCAGGGTGCATGTAAACATGCCCCTCATCAACACAAGAAAGAACAGACTAGAACAGAAGTCCTAACGATTACACACAGTGTTTTAATATGTTAAAATACATAATTTAGTATTATCCAAAAGATTCTTCCAGATAACCTTTAAAGGTACATTTCACACTTAAAATGTACCATCCAGAATGCGTTAACAAAAATTTATAAAAACCTAGTGTTCCAAAACTAACCAAATTACTCCTCAGACACTAACTGGTTGGTAAAGTTAGATATTACCAGCAAGAGAAAAAAATTCTGATACTCACTAATTCCTTACATGAACTATTACATCATTAAACAAAATACAGAAGATGGCTTCTTCAAGCACATAAAAATCAGTTAATAAAACTAAATTTTATTAACTCACCTAATTTTACATGTCCATTATCCGTTAAAAGAATGTTTGCTCCCTTAAAAAAAAGTAAGCATACTTGAATTAAAACATGCAGATTCCTCTGATATCATATTAAAAAAAAAAAAATTATGCGAGATCTTATGGCAAACTAGGGGACAAAGACAAACCAAGGACTGTGCATTCAAGAAATCTGCAGCCTTACCAAAGAAGTGTCTGTGAAATTAGCAAGTTGCCATTCTGTTATACAAAACAACTTGGATATACAGGATTTCTCACTAATTTTTAGTTTAGTACGCTCTAGCCTATGGTACTACAGAGTTTCCATTGTACACAAAACCCTCTCAAAAAGCAGAATATGGTGATTTGCCTATGCTGATGAATTCTTACTATTTACACTGACTGAAAGGAAACAGGAACTCTAAAGGTCAAAGTGGAAGTAATTTGATTTTCTTTTCATATGTAGGAGCTGGTTTTGTCTTGTTTGAGAGCCATTATAATTATAGCCCTAAGGACCTGGTTTGACATTCAAGTGTTTACCAAAATTATTTCTGTCCTTATGCAACAGAGATTGTTAGTGCTAGATTTAGAAAAGTTTGCTGTTCTGTGGCTATAAGTACCACTCAGTTCAATAATCAAAACTAACCCAAAGCAGTAGTTGGTACCATAAAATTATGACGTAAAAGGACTGAGAACAAACCTGTTCTGAAGTTTGAAGCCAGGTACACGTTGAATTGAGTGAAAGGCTGGAGCTGGCTAAATACAGCTCCAAAAGTCAGCACTGCCCATTTACTAGATGGAAAGGCAGCACAGATGGGCCTCCAGAAGAACTACATTTATACATATTATGGCTTTTCACAAGAAGGAAAAATCAGGTCTGCAGTAAAGCGCAGCTCACTTTGGCAAACATCACACAAGTATAGTTAATGAGCCTTATAAATGGAGCTTGGTAAATAGTGTGACAGTCCAGTTAACATGCTCTTGACCTTGTTCACCTTTCAAGATAAACAGGACTCTAAATACATAACTTAGCTACTGAGGGAAGCAAACATAATTCAACAGTCAGGCGATCTGCAGATGAAGACAGTATTTTTCCATGCTCATGAGAACAGCTTTTAAAAAAAAAAGAAATTCTCAACATAAGCACGTAAACAGTTTTTATCAGCAAAGTTCTGTTTAGAAACAAGTATCTATACAGTGTCCTTACAAGCATCACTTTGCATTCCATAAAGTATAACGAAAAATGTTTTTGTGTCCAAAGTAATCTTTCATTCAGAAATTACTTTTATGATTGCTCAAAACCCAAATATCTTTTTGCAGTCAATGAGAACAACCCGGAATCAGGCTGCATTAAAGCATCTACAGTTGAAGCTACTACACACATAGCCACCCCTAGTCTGGAAAAAAAAAAAAAAACCACACAACCAAACAAAACCAATGCCACACACAACACAAAGGAATACGCTAATTTACTGTCAGATTTCCAGGAGGAAGCCTGCCAAGTTTAAGCTGCAGTCTGAGCAAGGAAGAAAAAGTCAACAGGAAGCACCAGAAGGAAACTATAACAGAGAGTGTAAGAGTCTGAACAAGCCACCTTTGAGACAGCTTTGTTGAGATGAAGGTTTAAAGAAGTCAGTGTTAAGAGCCTGATTTGTGGTACCCTCTCTAATTTTAGCATGCGAGGGAGGGGACAGAAGTAGTCTCCAAAAACCACAGAGAACAGCAGCTACTGCCCTGCAATCTGCTCACCAAGAAAAGAAGCAAGAAGCCAAAGGAACAGCTCTGCTCACTAGCTGGTTCAAAGAGGAGGGTATGTCAGGCTTCTTGGAAAGGTGTGAGCAAGCCCAAAACTTTTTTCTTGCACATCCTTACAGCCATCTGAACACACGTGGCTCTGGACACTAGCTGATGCCTAAATTTTACAGCACTGGTCTAAATAAATAGTGTATTTGGTGCCAATTAAAAGAACAAACTATTTCCATCCATGCATTTTAAAGAAAGGTTTTTTTTCTTCCCTCAGGCAGAAAATTTTGGTTTGTTCTAATAGACAGAAAACCCCTATGTATTTAAAAATATCCCCAAAATTGGTAACAGTAAAGACACATCAGACGTCATGCAGCCTATTTTAAAAACACCAAAATTCCCTTCAGTTTTTACTTACCTTTATATCTCTGTGCATTTTTCCTTTACTGTGAAGATAATAGAGTCCCTGCATAAATAGATAATAATTTAGTCCAATATTTTTCATTTAATATAAATTTCTTATTTAATTACCAGACATATTTAGGATCCATATTCAATCATCTAAATGACTCACTGACTGAAGAAGATAGCTATATTTCAGCATATCCAAAGTGCATTTGCAAATTCAATATATGTAGTAGCATAGTATCTAAAACACAGGATAGATGGAAAGAATACCAGTCACCACATCTATTGTAAGAAAACCATTCCCCAGCCAAGTTTTCCTGCACATGGTAACTGTCACCTTTTTAGACCAAATTAATTACTTTTAAATTGCTTAACAGTCTTCTATTCAGCAGTCAGACCACTGGATACCTAGCGCAGTTATCTCCCTATCTCATTACACACTTCAACTCTGTTTAGAGGCATGCTAGCAGGCAGCACTTCTGGTCTAACACAGGAGTTCAACTAATTCATGGATTCCTGCAGAAGCATTAGGCTGTCTTTCTGGGTCTTGATGACAGTATCAAAGCATTTTAGGACTCATGTTGAGTTAGAAACTTTAAGTTTAAATTCTGGAAGAATTCTATGAAACCAAATCCCTGCATGACAAATCACAGAGCATGTCACTTTTGATACTTTCTCTAAAATTCTCTTCCAGGAGTAAAACAACACGTAAGTATCCTCCTCGCTCTGCAGCCATGAACCTCCATAAAGACTACATTTTCATGGGAGATGCCCATGTCAACACAGAATTTTTTTTTTGCCAGCTCATGCAAGACATCACAGAGTTGACTGCAAAAATAAATTAAGACTGTTTTCAGTTACCAGCATTTTCATGGATGGTCCTAAATATACCAACAGGAAAAATGAGGACACTTACATGACTTGGTACTTGAGATCTTCAAGTGAAAAACACTGTACAGATAGACAATAGTACCACTGAAGATACAGTTTGGGGGTATTTTTTTGTTAGTTCATGAAAAGTGAAGTCCTAATCAGTTATGAAATTGAACTCCTTAAATAAACAAAAAAAAAGAAAAAAAAAAACCCCACACTCACAAGTGTTTCAACATGTTTCTCTGGGGGAAATGACTAGCAATACCCAGTTGGTCCGGTAGTTTTTGAGAGTCCTCATTGCATATGAGGACACTTACATGACTTGGTACTTGAGATCTTCAAGTGAAAAACACTGTACAGATAGACAATAGTACCACTGAAGATACAGTTTGGGGGCATTTTTTTGTTAGTTCATGAAAAGTGAAGTCCTAATCAGTTATGAAATTGAACTCCTTAAATAAACAAAAAAAAAGAAAAAAAAAACCCACACTCACAAGTGTTTCAACATGTTTCTCTGGGGGAAATGACTAGCAATACCCAGTTGGTCCGGTAGTTTTTGAGAGTCCTCATTGCATGCAGACCCAAAAATTGGACTGGATTTGCTTTGAGTACAGAGTGTAATTAATCAAAGCATCTACCTGATCATTGCAACGACTGGCACTAGCTAGAAGAGTCCCATGTACGCTCCTCACATTTAAATCTCTGGATGCTACTGGCACAGAAAGCCCAGCAACTCACTCATTTTCACCACTGCCCTGGAAGAATTTAAAGTCACCATTTCAAAACTGAATGCCTGGAGTCAGGTACTTTAAAGGACCTATTTAAAGAACCTATATTTTCAGAATCAGTCTCACTGATTCCAACCAGAACTGATAGCAAGTTATTTTTGAAAACAGACCATTTAATGGGCTTCTAAATATGGAGATCAAACACAAACTGTAGTCATTCAAGTGAAACTCCAGATTCATGGAAACTGATGGCAAAGTTAACATTGGACAAATGAGTTTTATGGATGGACAGATGGCTTATATTCACAGACTTTTTACTAGGAAAGGTGACTGCTGCATTATAAGCTACAAGAAGATATCAGAAACTATATACATTATATTTGACCAGAGTGTCCTAAGCATGTATTTAAAATATACAAAAATGGGTCGATGGATGACACAGAAAATACAAAGTACCAAGTTTCCTTCTCACAAGCAATTTACACATATTAACCAAGAAATCTTCCCACACAATAAATAATGATTTCATAAATTCCATTCTAGACTATTGAAACACTTCTCTATACTCTGAGAAAACTATGGATTTGATGGATGGACTATTCAGTGGATAAGGAATTGGCCAGATGGTTACATCCAGAGAGTAGCGGTCAACATCAAATGTCCGGATGGAGATCAGTGATGGGTGGTGTCCTTTAGGGGTCCATATTGGGACTGGTACTGTTTAATATCTTCATCAATGGCATAGACAGTGGGATCAAGTGCACCTTCCAACAAATTTGCAGATGACACCAAGCTAAGTGGTGTGGTTGACATGCCCGAGGAACAGGATGCCATTCAAAGGGAACTGTGTGAACCTCCTGAGCATCAGGGCAATCCCTGGTACCAATACAGGCTGGGGGATGAAGGGGTTGAGAGCAGCCCTGTGGAGAAGGACTTGGGGGTACTGATGGATGAAAAGCTGGACATGAGCCAGCAATGTGCACTCACAGCCCACAAGGCCAACCATACCCTGGGCTGCATCAAAAGCAGTGTGGCCAGCAGGCAGCAGGTCGAGGGAGGTGATTCTGCCCCTCTACCCCACTCTGGTGAGACCCCACCTGGAGCACTGTGTCCAGCTCTGGAGACCTCAGCACAGGAAAGACATGGGCCTGTTGGAGCGGGTCCAGAGGAGGGCTACAAAAATCAGAGGGCTGGAACACCTCTCTTACAAGGAAAGGCTGAGTTGGGGTTTGTTTAGCCTGGAGAAGGTTCTGGGGAGACCTTGTTGTGGCCTTTCGGTACTGAAAGGGGGCTTATAAGAAAGACTGGGCCTGTAGCAACAGGACAAGGCGTAATGGTTTTAAAGTAAAAGAGGGTAGATTCAGATCAGATACATGGAAGAAATGTTTTACCATTAGGGTGGTGAAACATTGGAACAGGTTGCCCAGAGAGGTGGTAGATGCCCCATCCCCGGAAACATTCAACATCAGGTTGGATGGGGCTCTGAGCAACCTGATGAGTTAAAAATGTCCCTGCTCACTGCAGGGGGGTTAGACTAGATGACGTTTAAAGGTCCCTTCTAATCCAAACCATTCTATGATTCTATAAGAAAAAGAGTTTAAACCCAAAACACTCCCAGAAGTCATGTAAGACTTCCCTGTAAGGAGTAAAAAAAAAAAAAAAAAAAAAAAAAAACAACCATGTCCTGTAAGGCAGAAGTCAGCAATCTCTGGCACAGCATAGGGAGATGGTAAGTGGCATGCAAGAGAGCTGGCTCAGTGACAGAGCTATCTTAAGAGAGTGTTTGGGAGAGGTAGCAGCTCTCAGCTGATGGCATTCAACAGATTTGCATTCACTAGAAGCCAAGAACCACTCTCTCACATGGAAGTAAGCCATCCACCAAAAAAGCCATTTCTGATTAAGTTTTACTAGTGAACTGAACCTTTAATTTAGGAAAGAAAAATGAAAGCTAGCATACCCGTGAGGAGAAGCTGGTGACCTTAACTTGAACATCCCAAGTACACAATTTTTTTTTTTTTTTCTTATTGGCACAGATCAACTATTGGATATGCAAAACCGAGTCTCTAAATTTTCCTTCAAACTTGCAATAACTAATTTGTACCACAAATACGGATTAATAAATATGCTGCTCCCCCCCCAAAAAAAATTAACAGCAGAAAAATGACAGTTTTCTTCAAATGAGCCAGGAAAATTTGAGATTATGCAATTATACAAATCAGTTCTAGGCTATAATACAGAACCTCCTCAAAAGTCTGAGAAAATGCTAAGCCATCCAAACACTGTATTTCCATGGCATGACACATTTTTGTAGCTTTTATTTTTAGCTTTTAATACTTTTACATTAAAAGTCAACCAGAAGAACCTGAGAACACACTACCTGTAGTGTTTCTCTGCTAACATAGGCAATCTGCTGTTCTGAAAGTGGTCCAGTCACTGAAATGGAAGGGGGAAAAAAAAAAAAATAATAATTCTCAAAATCAGGTAAGATAATGCCCATTCCAAACCCATACCTCAATTACCTCCATTCACACCAATACACTCTTACACTAGAAGTCTCAAAGTAAATGTGCTTGGTGTCTAGTTCCGTTGGAATGGAAACTACTACCCACCTCCATATAAAAATCTAGAAGTAATTAAGAGGAAAAAGAAACAGAAGCAGTGATTTCAGCACAACTCTTT